GAAGCTGTGTCCAGGTTTCAATTAGAGAAAGAATTGAAGGGACATTCAGTGAAGAGCTTCAGATAAAGGGGATTTGGTGGGTTCTAATCCATGAATTCCAGAGGGCACAAGGGTTAGGAGAGTCCTGAAAGGGTGGGAGATTGGGCCAGATGAGGCAACATTCACTGCCATATGAACATGGCTCTAGGGCATGATGGGATTAATCCTGTGGTCTCCTAGGGCAAGAAGTGTAAATCAGTTCTCTTTGAGTGTCAGCCTCTGAGTACTGATCTCTTAGTTTGTGAAGAGAGGTGAGTGGTACTGAGGCTCATGGTAATTATCTTTTTGAGAATATAAGGAGCTCTGGGGGCTTCCTTTTCAAATGTCTGTGAATGGCATTACAGCTGGAAAAGGGACAGGTCTTCCTGGAGCCCATGGCTCTATGTAGACTTCTCTTAAATCCTGCTACTAGGGAAGGCATTACACATGGAAGATGGAGGGGAGAAAGGCAAGCCTGGATACTATGTGAGATCTTACGAAGGCTTGAACAAAGGCTGTGATAACAAGAATCCAGAGGGAGACATAGAGATCGTGAGTTCCCTTGTGGACCCAGAATGCCTTGGGGCTGTTCTTTCATTATGAAGTTCTCTTCTTGACCACAGGGCTCATTCAGAAGCGGTAGCCAAGGCTAGAGCTACAGCCTGTAGTTATAACCTTGAAATTAAGTCCGTAGTTAAGGGAATTTCCAAACTCTGATATGAACCTCTAACTAGTCTCAGGGAAATCTGCATTCTCATGGTCACAGAATTATTTTATTCTCATACTCCCCAAATATATCTACTTCTCAATTACCCAAACTAAGTAATCTCAAGATGACATGGGTTATCTACAAAATAAGTGTCAAATTTATCTCCTATGAGGAAAACTATTGCATTGGTTGTTGATTCATCTTCTTTACTTGACAGTTCTTGCCAGAACAATAAGAGGCAACATAAAGAAGAGAAGAAAAAAGAAAAAAAAAAACTGACCAATATGGGTATTGATTGTTCTATATACATTTTTCATTAAATTTTCCCAACAACCCTATGAAGTTACTATTTCATACTCGTTACAGAGATGAGCAAACAGATTATCAGAGGAATTTGAAATTTTCCCCAAGGAGATGTCAGAAAAGCAGCAGAGCTGATTAAAACTTGGAGTTATCTGATCTGAAAACACTTGCTCTTTTAACCACATACCAACCAAGAATACTAGCTAAGCCAACTGCACGTTCCTCTCCCAAATAACCAAGCAAGCAACTAATAGTTAAAGATTATTTACTCTGGGTAAAATGCTGTGCTGGGATCTATGAGAAATAGAGAGGTCAATAAAGCACAACCTCCATTCCGCAGTACGAACTACCAATTTGGCAAGACAACCTGTTTGCGTAGAGGTGCAAAAAGTTAATAATTCCAGAGGACAAAGGTGGGATCATTACCACTGCTCTGAGTATCATGTATGGTTGAATTTGCTCAAGTGAAAGAAAATGTGATGTAATATTAATGTAACAAAGCCAATTTTTTCTCATTTTGACTATTTAAAAAATTTTGAAACTCTGATAACATTTCAGTACGTTACTTTTTGTCTCTTCAATACATTGGTTCCGGTCTTGTTTTGTTTTGTTCTTGCAACATTGAGTTCTTGATGCGTATATAGTTTCACATCCTCTTGTTTTTTTCAGTTAAACTAGATAATATAAGAAATTTCCCGTGTTAATGGCAGTTCTTTATACACGTAACGATTAATGACATAGTAATCATAATACAAGGGAACTGAAGAGAGAGGAGGGCCTCTCAGGCACAGGAGGCAACGCAATCCAGAATGAGGATTCACTTTGGGCCAAGTCAGAGCTGGCAAGACTTAGGTTCCAAGCGGTCCTGGGGAGGGGTTAACTAGATGAGTCAGCAGAGGCCACGTGACATAACTTCTGCCCTGTCAGTCCACTGGACTATTTGGGCCTGCCACCTGATTTGTGTCCCTTTCCAAAGGACTCTCTGTGGGTCAAGCCAGTGGATGCCAAAGCAAGGTCATTCAAGCATCAGAGAGTACATTTCCAGAAGCAGATTTGTTTACTAACTGGGAAGGCATCCACTATAACAGAGGGAACAAATGAGTTTTTCTTTACAAACCTGTCCCTGACCCTTGCTTTTAGCAAGGGTTCCCACTTTCCTTGGCAAGCTTTTTCCTGCTCTAAAGCCAAGTACAGCTGAGCAGGCAGGGAGCGTATCCTCACTGGCTGTGCAAGGCTGGTGGCTGAGGTCACACATGCCATTGTAGAATGGAAGTTTGGGGATATATGAATAAAGCAGCACCATTATCTAAAATCTGGATGACTTTTACAGTGTTGTGTTTGAGAAAGTGGTAGCTAGGTGAAAATTCAACATTATAGTCCAGAAGCAGCAATTTGAGGACTGAACTGCTTGACAGTCCTTGCTGCCACTACAAAGCAAAATCTTCGTGCTAAACAGAAACTGACTTTCAGCTGAGGTCAGTGGAGGAGCAAGATTACTGGGGGAATCTTATTTTTTTTGTAATACATTATTCTTTCCTTCAAGCCCTGATCCTTTATGGAGTCTGATATTTCATGAATGTTGTTGAGCATTTTGGAGGTTTCCTCCTTGTGAGATTTTGTACTGTCAGAGTTGATGCTTTTATTATAATTCACACATACAAGATACAAGGCATTACCAAAGAGACTATTTTTTTACTCAAAAATTAAACAACTAAAAATTAAATGTAGTTTCTAAACTTTATTTTGCCATGTTATAAATTCTAGCATATGAAATAATTCTGTAAATTTTAGAAATATAATCATCTCTGTATGATTTTTGTCTTATGTTATCATAGAAATTTTTATAAACATTTATTTGCTCCCAGAAGATATTCCTAAAGTTAACTTTCTAAAGTTAGCTGGCTAAAAGACCTACCATTAGTATAGATCCACCCTTTGCCTTAAATTTTAATTAATTGAGATTTCTTAACAATTGCTGTTTTAAACATAAAATTAACAGTCATTACAATTAATTTTTGCAGTAATTTATTATTGCAACAGTAATTGTATATTTATAGTTCAACTGAATGACAGAATTTTAAGGTATAAATCATATAGGAAGACCCTTATTGACAATTGCACCTGGAATGCTCATCTGTAATTAAATGAAAATATTCAAATGTTTATAATAAACCTGAACAACTTGACTTGTTAAAATGCTGATTAGAAATGATTGTCTACATGTCATGTGATCAGTGATTATGCATAAGTTTAGGGATGCAAGACATGCTGCTGAAGTAGGTATTTGACTATTTGGTCATTTCTCTAAACTTGAAGAATAAACTAATGCAATTTCAAGTAGATGCCATGGAAGGAATTCAGTCACGGTTTAGTGGTTTTGAACTCTAGCTTTGCTACTTTAGTTTTGTACATATTTATTTAGCACCTACTCTATGCTGAGAATTCAATCAAATACGGACACATCAACCAGTAAGAAGGAGGCCTTTGTTCTCTATGTGCTGATAGTCTGGGGAGTTTACACAATTTACACAGCTTCTCTAAACTTCTGTCTCCTTTCCTACTCTGTGAGCCTCACAACTATATTAATAAATGTCAAATGAGATGATGGGGACAGCCTGTATTTCTTGTGCCATGTAAATAACATATTTATTAACATCCCAATTGTCCCAACCATCATACAGGGCAGGTAGTGCAGCTTAATTGTCATGGGAACATGCTTAGAGTCCAGAGCCTGGGTTTGAATCCTGGTGGTTGTGTGACTTTGGGTAAGCAATTTAACCCCACTGCTCTTAGATTTACTACAAAATTGTGACAATTAGATTACTTCCGGACTTCCCTGGTGGTGCAGTGGTTAAGAATCCACCTGCCAATGCAGGGGATACGGGTTTGAGCCCTGGTCCGGGAAGATCCCACATGCTGCAGCACAACTAACCCCGTGCGCCACAACTACTGAGCCTGTGCTCTAGGGTCCGTGAGCCACAACTACTGAGCCCACGCGCCACAACTACTGAAGTCTGCACACCTAGAGCCCGTGCTCCACAACAAGAGAAGCCACGACAATGAGAAGCCTGCGCACCGCAACGAAGAGTAGCCCCTGCTCGCGGCAACTAGAGAAAGCCCGTGCACAGCAACAAAGACCCAGTGCAGCCAAAAATAAATAAATAAATTCATTAAAAAAAGCAATTAGATTACTTCCTTCATTGACAATTAAATTAAATAACGGATTATAGAATTCAGCATAGAATCTAGCACATAATAAGTATTCTGCTGAGGTTAACAGTTATTAAAATTCAGTGCAATTGATCCCCAATTAAAAATAAGGGAATGCAGAGAGGTTATATAATTTATTCAAGGCCACACAATAAATTGCAGAGATGAGGCTCAGCCAAAGCCCTTATTTTTTACATTTTGGGTCTCTAAACATATTGTCATAGATGTAACTGTTGGATGAATTTGAAAGATACTTATATTATGTTAATCAATGCTTTTAAACTTTCTCCTTGGCTGGGTAGGTCCTCCAGCCCAGTTTCTTTGCTTGCCATCCACATCCCAGACCACCAGATTGAATCCTCCAGAGTGTGGATGTGGCCTGGTGAAGGGTGAGACCACATTAGTCCTTAGTCTCCAGCTGCCTCTCCATTGAGAAAGAAACAGTTATCTCATTGAGACAGGGACCTTGCTTGGGTAGGTGAGCCAGCCTCCCAAAAATTGTAAAGCTGGGTCCACTCATTGAATTGTGAATCCTGTCGTCCTCTCCCTCTCACTGAGCCAAGCCTGAAAGCTGAGCTCTTTGTGTCTAATCTGTTTGTGTGTGTGTTTTTAATTAGCTTGTTGAATTACTCTCTTAGAGATGGCGGAGAAGTCTCAAGGAGACCAGGAAAAGAGCAGGAGAGACATCCTGAGGTCCACCAAGAGGACATGGGCTCCCCTGGATGAGCAGCCGCCCCCTGGCTCTGAGGAGGAGAGCCACAGTCTCACCGCCCCCATGCTGGGTGAGAACGGGCCCCCAGGGATATTTGAATCCAACCTACTGTGAGTGGTGAGGGATATGGGGTTTTGGGCTGGGGGCAAATGATTTTGGAACAAAGATTTGACTTTGAAGATACCAGTATTCCTGGCATGATACCAGAAACTTCTATGAAATGGGCACATCTGACTTCCCCGACAGACACCTAAGACACAGACCTTCTTGATGGAAACAGACCAACTAACGAATGAACTCTGCTTCCTTTCCACTCCAAGATCCCCTCATCCTAAGTCCCCAGGATCATAAAGCTATGTGGAGTCCATGCCAGAGACATGAAGCTTCGTAGGACATCAAACATTTTATTGAAAGGCTTTTATTTGCTGGGTCTTGCACAAGGTGTTGATAATAATTTTAATTGTTTAAAGAGTAATAAGTAAGAAAACACTTCTCCCTTCAGTGTGATTTTTTTGTTTGTTTGATTTTTTATGATGTAACTGATGGCTTTTCTTCTTTGCCCACCACCAATTTATTCTATCCCTTCACAGTATCTCAGTTGAAAACTAAGCACCTCCCATGTCCACTTGGCCTTTTTGGTTCACCAGACACCTTGTGAGGGGGTAATTCAGGTACCTCACTGCTTCGTAGGATAAAGTCAAAGAAAATAAGCCCAGAGTAACCTGTAACCAACCAGAATGGAAACAAATATTTACAGGAAAACTGCTTTTATATCCCTTCCTTTTTGCCTGTTGACTATTTGTTGAGCCAGTGGTAAAGATCCACCTTAAAAGACACAGGGTGCCTGTGGCAATTCTGGGACTGTAGTGCAATTTGCCCCTGGAATGAATGCAAATTTGGTTCCTAACCTGGCAGAGAACTCCTTGCAAATGAACATCACTGGCTAGCTGCCTTATGGAAATGTGATTCAGTAAGGAGAGGCTCCACGTGATTTATATCCAACTAGAGAAAGGCAAAAGTCTCCTATGCTTTTTCACCCTTTGTATTCACACCAGGTAATTTAAAAATTATTCTAACATCTCTTGCTCTTTGGTGATTTTTTTTTTTCCTTTTCACATTTTTTTCTTTCTCTCTTTTTTTTAAGTTAGTCCTTTGGCAAGTTTACAGTTCATTTTCAGGAAAAGCTGATTATGGAAAACCGGAAGTTTTGCCTTGGGGAAAAAATGAATATGCTTATAGAAACATGTGACTAAATACTAGGAACCAGACCTATTAGGTGGTGGCTGAATAACAGGGTGGGATCACTTTAGCTGGTTATGCTTTGACTAACTGGTCTGTTTCTCATTAGTAGAAGATTCCAAACAAGAAAGTATTCAGCACTGGCTGGACTCTGGATTCTTGTAAGTGTTTCTTTATGCCCTTACACATCCTTCTTGCAAAGATCCATGAAAACAGTATGGGTAATCCTTCAGGGACAGGTGTGACATGTAGGGATTTTCATTTTAACTGGGTGTTTGAAGGATTACTCTGTTATTGCAAAAGTTATATATCGGTTTAAAACTACAAAATAGAGGGGCTTCCCTGGTGGCACAGTGGTTGGGAGTCCACCTGCCGATGCAGGGGACACGGGTTCGTGCACCGGTCGGAGAGAATCCCACATGCCACGGGGCGGCTGGGCGCGTGAGCCATGGCCGCTGGGCCTGCGCGTCCGGAGCCTGTGCTCCGCAATGGGAGGGGCCGCAGCGGTGAGAGCCCTGCGTACCGCAAAAAAAAAAAAAAAAAAAGTACAAAATAGAATAATATTTCAGCCCCCAGCTGTTCATTGGTTTCCAAAAGACCTCTTATAATAAAGCCTAACTGCATAACTCTGTTTAATTAAGGAGCAATTTAGCATAATTTATTTACACACATTGTTTGACTCACAATACTTTTGTTTCTTTATAGTGTCTCTGTAAATGAAAACCTTCAGCCAGCCATCGACCACATCGGTAAGACCAGAGAACCCAGAAGCAGTTATGCTTTGTGGACCTGAGTAGGAGATGTATTAAAATGTTTGTGTGAATAAATCTAAAAATGAGAATTATCAGAGGTTCCTAGAAATGGAAAAGAAATCTCAGAAACCATTCAGCTCAATCACTTTCTTTAATATTTAAGGCAAGCTCAGAACAGATAGGTGTTATCCAGCAGCAGGTTGGGGGCTAGAAACAAGGACTCTTGCCATATCATTAGCTCAGACTCTAACAGAAAACTCACTGGGTCTGTGAAGACATTTTGCAAGGATGTAATTATGGAAATGAAAATGAAATTGTTTAATTTTTCCTGACACTGTATTGTACTTTTATTTCTAAATCTAGTTTCTTTCTATTCTTCACTCTTAAAATTATATCCTCTTTCTAATGATGCATTTGTTCTCAAAAACAACAAATGACTGAATTCTATAGCAAACAGTACAAATATGTATTTCCGAGGCAGAAAGTGTATCACACTTGTTACATTGAGATTTGATAAGAACATTACAAGAAGAAAAAGAAATTTAACTACAGGTTTCACAGTTTACATCTTCATTAAGTCAAATACAGTATTTCATAGACTGTAAGACTCCTCAATCATAAAATGCACCCACATTTTAAGTACCACTCCAATAGGAAAATAAAACAACCATCCTTGTCATCCCTGTCAATTATAACTAGGCATTATAGTAGGCAACATTGACTACTAGACACATCCTGATTTCATAGATGTTAAAATGTGAAAACAGTGTGTTTTAAAATTGATGTAATGCCCTAAATAATGCATGTAAAAAATGACATAAATAAGGAGTTTAATGATTAGAGGGAAAATTATTAGTCTAATTGCTACTTACTTGGCTGGTTTTAATTATTTCACTTCCTTCACTGCCACTTAAATTAAGATTGACCATTGGCTACAAACCAGTTTAAATTTAGGAATTTTTACTTTAAAAATCTAGGTATATTGTTCAAATTTCCTCCTTTGCCAAGCTTCTTTATTTTTTTTAAATATAAAAGTTCCATGATGCCAAAAATCTCTGAAGATGTTTGCCAATAAATTGAATTTAAGTACCTTTGTTCCTGACAGTTTATTCTCATGAAAAGGCAGGAAGTTAAGAAATATAGCCAGCATTTCATATCCCTCTGATACTTCATCTTGCCCAGATTATAGTAGGAGGCCTGGCACCAGTTCTGGGGTTGTCAGTAACTATATTAAAAGCTTCACTTCCCAGAAATTAAGACAAATCATGGCCCTTCCTCCTTTGAATCAAGTCAATGAAGTAAAAGCATGAGGTGAAGAGTTGGAGGAAAGAAGGGTAACAAGATGACTCTGAGATCAGACATGCACAGTTTCTATCTGCCAGGTCCTTTGTCTTTAGTGAAGTTTTTAATAGTAATGGAATAGCTTCTTACAAGTTTAATTGGGCCTTCACTTTTACAAGGCCCTTCCTCATCTGTCATATTTTAAACTCAGTAACCTGTGTGGTAGCAAGGCTGGTGTTCATCTGTGTTTGCAGGTGGAGAATCTGGGTGGTCAAGTGCCACGATTTTTAGTTACAGCTGGTTGGAGGTGGGTGGAGGGACCTGTGGCTGGGCATGCTCTCAGCCCCTCTGTGTGCTGGTTTTGCTGCAATGAGCTCAAGGCACCCTGAGTTTAGGGAAGCCGAGGACCGCACCCGGAAGTGGAAACTGTAACAGTAGTAGCAGAAACTGGAGACCTGAAGGTCATGAGGGGTGTGTCAGAGAGAAAACTGTGGTGAACCAAAAAGGAACTGAAGAAGAGAAAGAAAAGTATTCTCTGCTGGAGGGAAAATCCTGTGAAAGCTCCCACAATCTCAGTATGATGCAGAGTGGTGCATTCGTTCCTAGGTAAGCCATAACCAGTTACCACAAACTTGGTGGCTTAAAACAGAAATTTGTTTTCTCACAGTTGCGAAAGCTGAAAGTCTGAAATCAAAGTGTCAGCAAGGTTCTCTTTTAAGGAAACATTTTAAAGTTCTTTAAATCCTGCAACCTTTTGGGGGCACGATATAGTTCAATCATTATATCTTCTAAGGGAAGAAAAATAATACAGTGTCAGGTGGGAAATTATTATATATAAGTACGTTTCACTGTAGTGATTTTTCTTTTATTTCAAGTATATTTTCTTAGAGTTTCAGGTTTGATTCTCTTGTATGTGCTTTAATATCAGTAACTATGGCAACAAGATTTTAAATGCTGTCTGTAGTATAAGTAAAGGGGAAAATGGAGAGAAAAAAAAAAAGTGTCAGCAAGGTATTCTCTCTCTGAAAGTTCTAAGGGAAGAATCTTTCCTGGCCTCTTTCTTGTGGTTCCCTTCAAACCCTGGCATTCCTTGACTGGTAGCTACATCACTGCATGCTCTGCTTCTGTTTTCACATGGCTGTCTTTTCCCTGTGAGTCTTCTCTATTCTCTTAAGGACCCCAGTCATTGGCTTTAGGATTTATGGCTCACCCTTATCCAGTATGACCTCACCTTTACTAATTATATCTGCAGAGACCCTATTTCCAGATAAAGGATACATTCTGATATGAAATTTCAGATACTGAAATGAAATTTGAGGGGATACTATTCAACTGACTACAAGTAGAAACCACTCTGAGGCTGGTTTCCCTCAGTGATCGTTCTGAGGCTTTATACATTAAAGTGTAACAATATCCAAGTGCCTGCTCATCTTCCAGGGGACCCAGCACCTCCCATGGAAAGCATTCTAGTGGACCTCAAATAAAATGAAGAGGTGGAATAAGGCTTCAGTGGCCCTATTGCTGATTTCCTCCCATGTCTTGAGATGGCCAAGGTCAGGTCTTCGCTTCTAATGGCGATTTTTTGGTTTTCATGCTGCTCTGCAGCTACCTAAAGTCTAATTTTTTTTAAAGTCTAACTTTTATTAAACCGGAATCTGGTTGGCCTATCTTGTTCACCACCATTATGCTAGGTAGAGCTCCCAGAGGGGAATGAAATTAGTACATGTGGAGGGCACACAGTCTAGGTACTTTTTGTGTATATTATCTCATTTACCAGAACCATCTTCTGTGGTGGATATTATCATTAGTAACTTTTGCAAAGAGGAAAATGAGACTCAGAAACGTTAAGTAACTTGCCCAAAGTAACCCAGTTAGTAGATAAGTGAGTTGAGATTTGAACATGGGTCTGTCTGACTCTGCAGCCACGTTTCCTCTCTAGAGGACTAGAGTATAATTTACCATCCGTGTTATGCATGGACACTCCTGGAAGTATCCTGGGAGGAAAGCTCTGCATCAGTGTCCCTGCTAGAAAAGTCAAAGCATGAACAGTGTGGGTCAGTTCACTGGCATCTACTTCTCCCTCCGGGTCTTCTGACTCTTGTGTACCGGCTTTTACGGCCACAACTCAGTCCTCATGAATTTAAATGTTTTGAAGTGGGACAATGCTAACTTTTTAAATGTCAGTCAAGTATCCGTAGAAATGAAAAATGGCCACATCTGGATCTTAAAATAAAAAAGATGCATCAAATTAGTTTTCTAGAAAGTCATAAGAAGTCCATTCTACCTTAACTCCAGAAATTTTAAATTATAAGAAACTAAACTCTTGGAAAATCGACATGAGTGAGGTACTAGCACTTAAGAGTTGGAAAATTCCATGGTTATTGTTTTTTTTTTCCTGAGGTTCACTCAGGTTTTTCCTGAGGTTTCTGATCCCTATACATTTCAGTCTCAAACTTATAATTAGTAATAATTAGTAATTATCATATATTGAGTGCCTGTTGCATATTTTAAAAATATTGTGAAGTATTTCTCAAACAAGGTGATTGATTAACCTCATTAAATATTGAAGAAACAGAGACTCGGTAAAGTTAAGAGATGTACCTAAAACCACATAAAGCCAAAGAGGTGGACACATGATTTGAATTCTGTTTGATTTCAAAGTTCATGCTCTTTTTACCAGAAACCAGTATACTGCATACTGGTGTAAATCCATGGCCATTAATTTTATCCCTAGCTTTTCCTTATTTCTGTGAGCTAAGCTTGGATGGCAAAAAGGGACACTTCCATTTAAGGGCGTTCTTGTATTGATAAAACCTTATTTCATTTACACTTGAGGTACATAATGAAGATTTAAATATTATTAATTAAAAATAATTGTAGAGAGGGAAGAAAGCAGAAGCAAGAAGTACTACAATCCTGCAGCCTGTGGAACAAAAACCACAGTCACAGAAAGACAGACAAGATGAAAAGGCAGAGGGCTACGTACCAGATGAAGGAACAAGATAAATCCCCCGAAAAACAACTAAATGAAATGGAGATGAGCAATCTTCCAGAAAGAGAATTCAGAACAACGACAGGGAAGATTCTCCAGGACCTCAGAAAAAGAATGGAGGCAAAGATCAAGACGATGCAAGAAATGTTTAACAAAGATCTACAAGAATTAAAGAACAAACAAACAGAGATGAACAATACAATAACTGAAATGAAAAATACTCTAGAAGGAATCAATAGCAGAATAACTGAGGCAGAAGAACGGATAAGTGAACTGGAAGACAGAATGATGGAATTTACTGCTGCGGAACAGGATAAAGAAAAAAGAATGAAAAGAAAGGAAGACAGCCTAAGAGACCTCTGGGACAACCTTAAACGCAACAACATTCATGTTACAGGGGTCCCAGAACAAGAAGAGAGAGAGAAAGGACCCAAGAAAATGTTTGAAGAAATTGTAGTCAAAAACTTCCCTAACATGGAAAAGGAAATAGCCACCCAAGTCCAGGAAGCGCAGAGAGTCCCATACAGGATAAACCCAAGGAGAAACATGCCGAGACACATAGTAATCAAATTGGCAAAAATTAAAGACAAAGAAAAATTATTCAAAGCAGCAAGGGAAAAATGACAAATAACATACAAGGGAACTCCCATAAGGTTAACAGCTGATTTCTCAGCAGAAACTCTACAATCCAGAAGGGAGTGGCATGATAAAGTGATGAAAGGGA